AGAGAACAACCTCACGAAGAGGCAAATACAAGTGACACACTAACACTTGTCCCATAAAGTTCTCCCCTTAAACATGACTCTCAAACCCCAAATGGCTACATTGTGGATGCTGCTGAATGAGAAGGAAGGATCCTCAATTTATAGAACTCCAAACCTTTTCCTACAAGAAAAGGAACTAGCCAAATATGGAAGATTTGTAATTTCCTTCTACACGAAGGAAAACCTAATCAAGGTAAACATGTTGTCATTTTCTTCAACAAATAGGAAAACCAAATATAGAAGAAAATTATGGCAAACAACTAACAATTCTCCCCCTTGGCCTGAATTTTCTGACAAAATAAACTTGATCCACCTTCTTCACAAAGCCTTCAACAGGTCGAATCTCCAAATCTCCACCACAAAGTTTGTCTCAACGTGCGTAGCATACCGGTCAAATTTCTCAGAAAAAATCACGATTATCGTCAAATATGTTGCGGCTAGAACTGAACCCGCCAAGATGAACCTGTCTTGAACCTCGCTCAAAGCCAGCTCTGATACCACTTGTTAGGACCGAAAAAAGTTAGGTGTCATGCGGAAGCTAGTAAAGCAAACATTGAAAGATGATAAATCAGACAACAAAAAAGAAATCTACCAAAAGAAACACAAACATTTAACGTGGTTCGGTCAACTGACCTACGTCCATAATGGAGATGAGCAATCCACTATATAAAAAGATAGTACAAAATATCGAGAGAACAACCTCACGAAGAGGCAAACACAAGTGACACACTAACACTTGTCCCGTAAAATTCTCCCCCTAAACATGACTCTCAAACCCTCTATGACTACATTGTGGATGATGCTGAATGAGAAGGAAGGATCCTCAATTTATAGAACTCCAAACCTTTTCCTACAAGAAAAGGAACTAGCCAAATGTGGAAGATTCGTAATTTCCTTCTACAAGAAGGAAAACCCAATTAAGGTAAACACGTTGCCCTTTCCTTCAACAAATAGGAAAACCAAATATAGAAGAAAATTATGGCAAACACCTAACAATTCTCCCCCTTGGCCTGAATTTTCTGACAAAATAAACTTGATCCTCCTTCTTCACATAGCCTTCAACAGGTTGGATCTCAAAATCTTCACCACAAAGTTTGTCTCAACATGCGTAGCACACTGGTCAAATTTCTCAGAAAAAAATCATGATTCTCGTCAAATATGTTGCGGCTAGAACTGAACCCGTCAAGATGAACCTGTCTTGAACCTCACTCAAAGCTGGCTCTGATACCACTTGTTAGGACCAAAAAAAGTCAGGTGTCATGCGGAAGCTAGTAAAACAAATCATGAACGACGATAAATCAGACAACAAAAGAGAAATCTACCAAAAGAGACACAAACATTTAACGTGCTTTGGTCAACTCACCTACGTCCACAACGGAGATGAGCAATCCACTATATAAAAAGAGAGTACAAAATATCGAGAGAACAATCTCACGAAGAGGCAAATACAAGTGTCACACTAACACTTGTCCTGTAAAGTTCTCCCCCTAAACACGACTCTCAAACCCCCTATGACTATATTGTGGATGCTACTGAATGAGAAGTAAAGATCCTCAATTTATAGAACTCCAAACCTTTTCCTACAAGAAAAGGAACTAGCCAAATATGGAAGATTTGTAATTTTCTGCTACAAGAAGGAAAACCCAATTAAGGTAAATATGTTGCCCTTTTCTTCAACAAATAGGAAAACCAAATATAGAAGAAAATTATGGCAAAAACCTAACAATTCTTCCCCTTGGCCTGAATTTTCTGACAAAATAAACTTGATCCACCTTCTTCACATAGCCTTCAACAGGTCGAATCTCCAAATCTCCAGCACAAAGTTTGTCTCAACGTGCGTAGCATACAGGTCAAATTTCTCAGAAAAAAATCACGATTATCGTCAAATATGTTACGGCTAGAACTGAATTCGCTAAGATGAACCTATCTTGAACCTCGCTCAAAGCTGGCTCTGATACCACTTGTTAGGACCGAAAAAAGTCAAGTGTCATGCGGAAGCTAGTAAAACAAACATTGAACGACGATAAATCATACAACAAAAGAGAAATCTACCAAAAGAGACACAAATATTTAACGTGGTTTGGTCAACTGACCTACGTCCATAACGGAGATGAACAATCCACAATATAAAAAAAGAGTACAAAATATCGAGAGAACAACCTCACGAAGAGGCAAACACAAGTGACACACTAACATTTGTCCCGTAAAGTTCTCCCCCTAAACACAACTTTCAAACCCCCTATGGCTACATTGTGGATGCTGCTGAATGAGAAGTAAAGATCCTCAATTTATAGAACTCTAAACCTTTTCCTACAAGAAAAGGAACTAGCCAAATATGGAAGATTTGTAATTTTCTGCTACAAGAAGGAAAACCCAATTAAGGTAAACATGTTGCCCTTTCCTTCAACAAATAGGAAAACCAAATATAGAAGAAAATTAATGCAAAAACCTAACAATTCTTCCCCTTGGCCTGAATTTTCTGACAAAATAAATTTGATCCACCTTCTTCACATAGTCTTCAACAGGTCGAATCTCCAAATCTCCAGCACAAAGTTTGTCTCAACGTGCGTAACATACATGTCAAATTTCTCAGAAAAAAATCACGATTATCGTCAAATATGTTGCGGCTAGAACTGAACTCGCTAAGATGAACCTATCTTGAACCTCACTCAAAGCTGGCTCTGATACCACTTGTTAGGGCCAAAAAAAGTCAAGTGTCATGCGGAAGCTAGTAAAGCAAACATTGAACGACGATAAATCATACAACAAAAGAGAAATCTACCAAAAGAGACACAAATATTTAACGTGGTTTGGTCAACTGACCTACGTCCACAACAGAGATGAGCAATCCACTATATAAAAAGAGAGTACAAAATATCGAGAGAACAACCTCACGAAGAGGCAAACACAAATGATACACTAACACTTGTCCCATAAAGTTCTCCCCCTAAACACGACTCTCAAACCCCCTATGGCTACATTGTGGATGTTGCTGAATGAGAAGGAAGAATCCTCAATTTATAGAACTCCAAACCTTTTCCTACAAGAAAAGGAACTAGCCAAATATGGAAGATTTGTAATTTTCTTCTACAAGAAGGAAAACCCAATTAAGGTAAATATGTTGTCCTTTCCTTCAACAAATAGGAAAATCAAATATAGAAGAAAATTATGAAAAACACCTAACAATTGCCTATGTTATCAATTTGTCTCCTGCACTTGCTTTGGATGGTGATGTTCCAGACAGAGTTTGGTTTGCCAAAGATGTTTCTTATGATCACCTGAGAGTTTTTGGGTGTAAAGCTTGTGTGCGGGTTCCTAAAGATGAGAGATCGAAACTGGATGTCAAAACTAAGCAGTGCATCTTTATCGGTTATGGTCAAGATGAGTTTGGTATCGTTTTTATGATCCAGTTGACAATAAACTTATTAGAAGTCATGATGCAATATTCTTTGAAGATAAAACTATTGAAGATATTGACAAAAGCTGAGAAGATAGATTCTCAGAGTATTGAGAGCTTAGTTGATATTGATCCAGTTTCAATTGCTAAGGCACCTATTGCACATGAAGGAACCCAAGACAATGATGGAGATAGTGATCAAGATCAAAATGATCATTATGGTGTAGATGTTATAGATGCTCCAATTGATGAAGTTGTGGTTGATCAACAACCAATTCCTGCACATGTAACTACTTCGAATGCTCCTGAAACCTCTCTTAGAAGATCTACAAGGGAGAAGCAAAAATCCATGCGCTATCCTCCTGATGAGTATGCACTTTTGACTAACATGGGAGAACTTGAGAATTATGATAAATCCATGCAAGATACTCACAAAGATCAGTGGAGTCGAAGCGATGGAAGATGGGATGAAGTCACTCCATGAGAATGACACATATGAGTTAGTAAAATTGCCGAAAGGTAAGAGAGCTTTATCTAACAAATGGATATTCAGAATAAAATAAGATAACCATAGCTTTGCGCCTAGATACAAGGCGAGGTTAGTTCTTAAAGGTTTTGGTCAGAAGAAGGGAGTTGACTTTGATGAAATTTTCTCCCCTGTTGTGAAGATGTCTTCTATTCATGTGGTTCTAGGATTAGCTGCAAGTCTAGATTTAGAGGTTGAGCAGATGGATGTCAAGACTGCTTTTCTTCATGGTGATTTAGATGAGGAGATTTATATGGAGAAGCCTGGTGACTTTGTAGTTAAGCTTGCAGATAAGTATGTGTTTTGCAAAAAATTGGCAGGCATGAAGCCTATCAATAGTTCCTCTACTTGAAGAAACATTTGGCCCCTTGGCTGGAGGGGGAATTTGTTAGGCACATTCCTATGTTGTCCAGCCAAAGACCCAATGGCCTAATCCTATTCTCTTTTGGTTTCCATTTCTATTTGGAATTAGATTCGGTTTATTCCTATTTTGAGTGGGTTTTGGCTTTAAGAGAAAACACCATTCATGATCTATAAGTAGGACAACCTTGGAGAATCATTCTATGATCATTGATACAAGTCTTTGAAAGACTTAAGCGCATAAGAGTGGTTTTTGAGAGAGCTTTCGTCGAGAGATAAGAGAGAAGAAAAATATTTATTTTGCTACAGATTTTTATTCCAATCAGCTAACATTCAAATCACGTTTACGATTTGTTAATCGTTGGATCGGGCTAAAATTTTGACTGCGTGTTCATAACATCTTGGTTTTAGATTTGAACAACAACTTCATTTTTGTGGATTCTCCTCTTTCTTCAATTGATTAGTTGTTGCTATTGTTGCTCCGTGTTTGGCACTTGTTGTGCAGCAAATTTGGAGAACTTTTGTAACCCTCTTATTATTATAGTGGAGCTTTTTGGATCTTTGTGATCCCGTGGTTTTTACCTTCGATTTGAAGGGTTTTCTACGTTAAAAATCAGGTGTTCTTTATTTTCTTTATTTTCGGATTTGCGTCTTCCTCGACATAACATTACTGTCAACATGAAGAAGGAAGAGCCTATGGATTCTCATAAATTTCATACTATGATGATGGCTTCCATATCCAATAGGAGGCAAATGGTATTATATTTACTAATTTAGTACATTTTCATTGGACTAGACGCTATTAATAAGATAGATCTTCTTTAATTTATATACTCATGATAAATGTTTGTCTTTTAAGGAATTTGAAATTTACTTTTTGTTCTCTTCATTTGTTCAGGGAAAGAAGGGTGTATGGATCAAGTTGCCTATAGAACTTGCTCATCTTGTTGAAGCAGCAGTTAAGGTAAAACATACGTATATACTTCTCTATCACAGACTACTTATACTTACAATTACAAGAACAACATATCCAGTGAAATCATATAAATAGGGTCTGTGAAGGTAGAAGGTAGTGCGACTCAAGCAAAAAGAAATACGGTGTGACGATATGGCCTGTCGTCTTAGGAATTAACGCCCTGATCCCCTATTAACTGCTTTCCCCAAGTTTATTTATGCTAATTTGATTTGCGGGGATGTTCGATTTTGAGTTTCGGAGAGTTTTGGGACACTTAGTCCTTAAATGAGAGCTTAAGTGTTGGAAAGTTAACCGTAGTTGGAACAATGTGAAGACGGCCTCAGAATGGAAATTCGATGGTTCCTTTAGCTCCGTTAGGTGATTTTACGCTTAGGGTCATGTTCGGATTGTGTTTTGGAGGTCCATAACTAATTTAGGCTTGAAATGCCGAAAGTTGAATTTTTGAAGTTTCCGGTTCGATAGCGAGATTTTGATCCAACGATCGGAATAGAATTTAGGATATTGGAGTAGCTCCGTAGTGTTGAATGTAACGTGTGTACAAAATTTCAGGTCATTCGGACGAGGTTTGATAGGCTTTTTGATCGAAAGCGTATTTTTAGAGTTTTTGAAATTCTTAGGCTTGAATCCAATGAGAAATAGGTGTTTTGATGTTGTTTTGTGCATTCCGAAGGTTGGAACAAGTTTGAATGAGGTTATAGGATATGTTGGTATATTTGGTTGAGGTCCCGGGGGCCTCGAAATGAGTTTCGGGTGGTTAACCAGGCCATTTCTTGATGTTTGAAGTTGCAGAAAAAAAACTGCTGGTGTGTTGCAGACCAGTTGCTCTTGGCGTTCGCAACTGGCCATCGCGTTCGGGAAGGGATAGGACGTGGAGATGAAGGTTTGGCCTTCGCATTCGCGAGGGAGGTCCCGCGTTCGCGAAGGGCTGGGGTCTTAATCTACGCGTTCGCGAGAAGGGGGCCGCGTTCGCGATGGAATGGGAGCTGAGCCTTCGCGTTCGCAAAGAAGGGGACGCGTTCGTGAAGAAGGAAAAATGGTCAACGTCAATTTGTGCTAGGTTTGACCGCGTTCGCGATTAAGGGAATCCCCGGGTAGATTTTTAAAACCCAAAATCGAAGGTTTGAGCCATGATTCATATTTTGGACTTGGGAGCTCAGGAGATTGCGGTTTTGAAGAGATTTTCACCTGGGCAATTTTGGGTAAGTAATTCCTACTCGTTTTAGACTAATTTCCATGAATCCATACTTAAAGCAATCCTTTAATTTCAAAATTTTGGTGGAAATTGGGGGAAAAGTTCTTAGACCAAGAAATTGAGTTTTGATTGGGGGTTTGATATTGGATTGGGATAAATTTGATATGGTTAGACTAGTGAGAGTATGAGAATTCTGAAAATATATAGCCGATTCTGAGACGTGGGCCCGAAGGGCATTTTGGTCATTTTACCTAATTTCGCGTATTAGCTTAGTATTTAATTGTAGAATCAGCTACTTGAATTGTTATTTACATTATGAAATTTAATTGAATAGATTTGGGCCATGTGGAGTTAAGTACTCGTGGCAAGAGCGTGGTTTCGGATTGATTTTTGAGCCGGTTCGAGGTAAGTAGCTTGTCTAACCTTGTGTGTGGGACCTTCCCCTTAGGATATGATATATTTGATAATTGAAATGCCTTGTACGTGAGGTGATGAGTGCGTACTTGAGCTAATTGTTGAAAATCCGTTTTTTTTAAGTATTTCAATTAAGTTCCTTTTTCCTGTTTTATTCTACTTGCGAATTTAGCCTGTTGTTAGTTAGAAAAGCATGGTTAGTTGACTTAATTGCCTATTTGCTTAAATTGCCTCAATTTTATTTTGTGAAGCATGTTAGACTACAATTAATTGTTTACTTAGTACGAAATTTAGCAATTATTGAGTATTCTTGCGTTGCTGTTATGTGTTTTTAATTTGGGACTATGGAACGACATCCCAGGAGATCCCCTGTACGTATTTATGATCTGGATTGAGGTGCGGGATACCAAGAGATCCCTGGCATGTATATTGAGGATACCAATATATCCTCGCGGTACCAAGAGATCCCCAACATATATTGAGGATACAAAGAGATCCCCGGGATACCAAGAGATCCCTGGCATGTATATTGAGGATACCAATATATCCTCGCGGTACCAAGAGATCCCCAACATATATTGAGGATACAAAGAGATCCCCGGGATACCAAGAGATCCCTTGTATACATAGAAGATACCAAGAGATCCTCGGGATACCAAGAGATCCCTTGTATACATAGAAGATACCAAGAGATCCTCGGGATACCAAGAGATCCACGGTTATCATCCTTATTATGAGTGGTACTTCCTTGTGGTTTACCTTCATCTCCATTTTCATTATTGTACTTTTATTATCCTGTATAGATTCTTACTATAGATTCTCAATTGTATTGCTTATCTTATCCTGTCATCTTTATATTTATTTAATCTCAATAGGGCCCTAACCTTCCTCGTCACTACCTGACCGAGGTTAGGCTTGGCACTTACTGAGTACCGCTGTGGTGTACTCATGCCCCTTCTGCGCATTCTTTTCATGTGCAGATCCAGGTACCGCTACCTAGGCCTTCCATCCTTGAGGGAGGCGACTGCTCTAGAAACTTCGAGGTACATCTGCTGCATCTGCAGATTGAGAAGTCCTTTTCTATTCTAGATGTTAAACATTGCCCTTCTGTATTTTTCTTTCTTGTTAGATATTCTAGAATTAGACTGTTAGATATTCCAAAGGCTTGTGTTTCCGTAAGTTTTCGGATTTTGGGATAGTGTCCTTGGTTTTGAGAATGTTGTTTTGTATATGCCGAGCGACATTATAACTATTGTTTCCATTCAGTTATTTTGGTTTTTTATTTCGTTTATGTTCCGCATTTGTTAGGATTACCTAGTCGTAGAGACTAGGTGCCGTCACGACAGTTCACGGAGGGAGAACTAGGGTCACAACAATTTGGTATTAGAGCTCTAGGTTTATAGGAGTCATGGATCACAAGCCAGTTTATTAGAGTCTCGCTGATCGATACGGAGATGTTTGTACTTATCTACGAGAGGTTATGTAACTGTTAGGAAAATTTCCACTTCATTTGATTTCCTTGTCGTGCAATATTTTGACATCAAAATTCTAAACTTCTGTCTTCTATTCTCTCACAGATGGTGAGGACACGTGCTACCCAAGATGATCAGGCACCCGCGCCCCCTACTACAGCCATCAGAGGCTGGCGCTGAGGTAGAGGCTGAGGACGCGCACGTGGTGCAGCCAGAACACCTGCGCGGGTTGCCGTCGAGGTACCACTAGCAGTTCCAGTCGGAGTCCAGGCACCTGACACGCCTACTTCTACTACTACTCCAGCACTTCAGGAGACTCTAGCACAGTTCACGAGCATGTACACCACTCTGGCTCAGGCAGAGTTGCTTCCCCTTGCTGCAGCTACATCTTAGGCCGGGGGAGGAGCACAAACTCCCGCCGCCCGCACTCCTGAGCAGCGAGTGCATGTTGAGCAGGTCCCTGAGATTATTCCTGACCGCCTGCAGTGCTAGTTCAGCCGAGGACAGGGCAGCGGTTTCCGAGGAGAAGCAGCTCATGCTTGAGAGGTTCAAGAGGTACAAGCCTCCTATATTCAGCAGTCTAGCATCGAAGGATGCTCTGGGATTTCTAGATGAGAGTTACCTCATTCTCCGTACCATGGGTATATCAGGATCGAGCGGGGTTTTCTTCACTACTTTCCAGCTTCGAGAAGTCGCCTATGAGTGATGGCGCACCTATGAGTTAGACAGTTCAGATGAGGCTGCTTCACTAACTTGGACTCAATTTTTAGATCTGTTCCTGAGAGTATGTTCCTCAGAGCCTCAGGGACGCATGGCGCACCGAGTTTGAGCATTTGCACTAGGGTGCTACGACTGTCTCAAAGTATGCTGTCCAGTACACCAGTTTGGCTAGGTATGCACCAGCCTTGGTTTCTACTGTCTGCCATAGGGTTCTCCGGTTTATTGAGAGGCTTATTCCCAGCATCAGGTCTAGCATGGCTCGTGAGTTGGAGATGGATATTTCTTATCAGCAGCTGGTGAGTATTGCTAGGAGGATTGAGGGTATGTATGCTAGGGAGAGAGAAGAGAGGGAGGTCAAGAGGTCTCGAGAGTCGAGCCATTATTCTGGTGCCCGTACCCCAGCTGTAGGTCGTCATGGTAGGGGTTATATGAGTCGTCCTATTCATTCAGCTCTTCCAGCAGCCAGTAGTGCTCTAGCTCCTCCTAGACCTCAAGAGCCTTATTATGCACCTCTGGTTTCTAGCACGCCTCCTGCGCGGGGTGCTTTCAGAGGTCAGTCCAACAGACCTGGCCCAATCCAGTCATAGCCACCACGTCCTCCCAGAGCTTTTTTTGAGTGTGGTGACACACGTCATATGGTGATGGATTTCCCCAGACTTGGGAAGGGTGCACCTCCATAGACATTTCAGTTACAGCGTGCCCCGTAGAGTTCTTAGGGTATGGTAACAGCTCTAGTTGCTACCCCACATGCTCAGCCAGCTAGAGGTGGAGGCCAGGGAGGAAGAGGTCGCCCTAGAGGGGGAGTCCAGGCAACATACTATGCCCTTCGTGCCCATACCGAGGTTGTTGCCTCCGATTATGTCATCACAGGTATTATACTAGTTTGTCACAGAGATGCATCGGTTCTATTCGATTAGGCTCCACTTATTCTTATATGTCTTCTTATTTTGCTCCTTATTTGGGTGTACCTCGGGATTCTTTGAGTTCCTATGTTTATGTTTCTACTCATGTTGGATATTCTCTTGTTGTGGACCGCGTTTATCGGCCGTGTTTGGTTGCTCTTAGTGGTTTGAGACCAGAGCCGATCTATTGTTTCTCAGCATGGTTGATTTTGATATTATCTTGGGCATGGACTGGTTGTCACCCCATCATGCTATTCTTGACTGCCACACCAAAATCGTAACACTGGC